GACCTGGGACGTTTGGCTGGGTTCCACAGTGTCCTAAGTGCCCAGTCAGGAGAGTCTGCAGAGGGGACCAAATGACAGAGGGCTTAGGCAAGAGTGAGGAACCTGGTGGTCATTTGCCTTGTAGGTGTGAGATCCATTCCCCAAAGTCCAGCCAGCAGCGTGACAAGCACATGGGCAGAGGCTGGACCAGTGAGGATTAGAATCCTTTGTTTACAAATGCCTTCAACGTCATCCTTCCTGATTCCACATCTTGCTTGACGGCTCCCTGCCCTAGGTTACCTTTCTCTGCCCACTGCTACACCCGAGTAGCAAACATGACTGGAGAAAGGCCTTAAGCCATACTGGTGGGAACACCTCATGTGCTCTGTCACCCCACAGAGAGCCCTCTGTGGCCTTCAGGTGACTGGGGCCACTGGCTTATCCATGACGAAGCATGTCTGTTTCCTTCTGTCTGTCTCTCCTCCAACTCTCACCTTCCTTGGATGATGACCCCTCTTCTGTCATGGAGGAAATGGCAGTGTCCAAGGCTAACTCCATGGTCTTCTCTGTGTATGCCGGTGTCTCTGCTACAGGGGCAGGTGTCCCTGCTGAGCTCCGGACCTCGGTTTCTTCTGCCCTGCCCTGCCTGCTGCTGCAGTTTCTCTCTTCCTCTCCTCCTGAATCATGCTCACTGGCATGCACGCAGGTTCTGTTTCTTCCATCTCAAAACACAAACACTGCGAGGGCATGAGGGAGGCAGAGAGGAAGTCAGCGGGTACAAGGGTGAAGATGGATAGGAGGTATGACTCCTAATGTTCTCTAGCACAGAGGGTGACTGTGGTTGGCAGTTAATTCTATACTTCAAAATAGCTAGTAAAGGAGATTTCTGAATGTTCCCAACATAAAGAAATAATTAAAAATATTTGGTGTGATAGATTTGCCAGTTATCCTGATCCGGTCATTTACACATTGTCACATTGTACCCCACAAATATGTATAATTATTATGTGTCACTTCAAGATAAAAACTATAATTTCTTTAAAAGTTTAAAAAGAAAAAAATAATTAGCTCCCTTGGCCCATTCCCCAGGCGGTTCTGCCATTTCTTGGCTCCCTTCGTGGGAGAAATGCCTGCATGGGTGAACTCTGGGTGTCCACTAACACTCCTCATTCCCTGGGTTCCCTACAAGGGCTCTTCCCCATTCCATGATGATAGCAGGACCATGTGACATTTCTGACAGATGACGCATGAGCGGGAGTGATACATACACTTGAAACAGACACAGGAAGCCGACGGCTGGCTGTGTCCACATCTTTTCCCAGCAGAGCTCTGTATAAAGGTGCTCTCTTGACCTGGGTCCAACTGTCTCAGCAGTGAGACACAGCTTTCGTTGTGAGTGAGTCTCTGGGATTCTGGGAACCCTCACCTGTCTTGGCCAATCTAGCTCCGTGCCATCTCTCCTTCCTCACTGCTGCACCTACTGACCTACCAGAAAGGAACTTGCCGGGGCCACCAATTACCTCCACCAAATCGACTGGGCACTTTGCTGTCCTCACATAAACTCTAAGCAGCCTTCATCCCATTGATTTTCCGCTCCTTCGGGAAATACTCTTGGCTTCGGTGACACCACACTCTCCTGGTTTGGCTCTGACCTCACTGGCTGTCTCTTCTCCTTTGCTGGCTCCTTCTCCTTTGCCCTCCTCCCCAACTGTTGTGCTGCTTTAGGCTTCGATGCTGTGCCTTCTCCCTTGACTCTCCTAGGTGACCTCATCCATACCCACGATTGAAATGCCATCTCTATGCCGATGGCTCCCAAGTGTACTGCTCACCTCTGGGCTTCTGTTCTGTGCATCCAGCTGCTGCCAGTTAGACATCCCTGTGAGGCATCTCAAGCTTTATATGTCCTAAAGTGAGCCCTTGGTTGCCCCAAGCCTGCTTCTCTGGGTTCCTTCAGTCTCGATGGTAGTACCCTCATCCTCTCAGTTATTTGGACTGGAGCTTGGAAGTCACCCTGTCACCCCCACCCCTTTCTCCTGCACTTGGGTCCATGTAAACATTTCTCCAGTCTGTCCATTATTCTGTCTCCAGGACCCCAATATCTGTTACAGACAAGAGCCATCAGCCTCCTTACCTTCCCTCCTTCTCCCCATCAACCCATTCCCCAACAGCAGCCCCTCAAATCCAATCATATCATCCCCACCTCAGGCTCTTCGGTGGCTTCTTGCAGCACCCAGAATTAGATCCAACCATTTACTGTGGCTTTTAGGGCCTTCAAGTCTTGGCTTTTTCCTTTCTGACTTCATTTTCCTGGCCCTCTCCCTTCATCTGCACCAAGCTCAGTCCTGTGGCAAGGCCTTGTCAGTTGCCAATCCCTCTGCCTGGAAGGCTGTTCTTGGGCTGCTTCCTATCCTTTAGGTTTCAACTCAGACGTCCTTCATCAGGGAGGCCGCCCCAGGGACCTCAGTCCCTTCATTTGCTCAAATCGTCCCCTCTTCATGTTTCCAGGATCTACCGTCTGTCATCGGGAATCTGTCTGATTACTTCTGTTTAGATGTTTCCCTTCTCAGTGGAGGCCTGTTAGGGAAGTAGCCATGTCTCCTATCATTGTGGAACCAGGCATGGAGCTCAGACTCTCACGTGAATGAGGGGGGTGGACAGATGCAGAGCAGGGTGATTGACAGGTATGGGCTGGTTCAGAGCCCAGATGCCAGTCTGGATGCTTTTCATTGACAGCAAGGAAGGCCTGGTTCTTCTGAGGACCAAGAATAAGGGCACAGTTCAGCATCTGCTTTTCAAAGGTGGGTTCTCATCTCTTGCTTTGCATCACTGACTGCTCAGCCCTGCCTAATGCTGTGTTTAGACTCCCACCCATCTCCCTCTCCACACCTGCCTGACATCCTCAACCCTGGCAGGCATCTCAGTAGACATTTGCCACTGAGGACCCTCCCACACCTACAGAGGGGATCCTTGCCTTACCAGACACACCAAGGACATATCACTGAGGGTGCGCCTGTCAGGCTCTGAGTGGGTCTCCAGTTTTCTGTTGTTTTGGGAAGGGGGAGGTGGCTCCACAAGGTCCCCAGGCAGAAAGCAGGGCCCAGAAACCTCTGGGAAGGGTGGGCTTCCAGAACCCCTCAGCCATGGAGTACAGGCTACATCAGCCCCAAGTACAGGGGCCCCAATCTAAGATGCAAATTTGATTAACATGAGGGCACATTTTATGAAGCAGCAGTAAATGGAGGTAGAGCCCACAGGCCTGGGTCTTCCTTCAGAGAGCTGCCAGATCCAGCTGAGAACAAGTAGACTAGAATGGGGGACAAAGTGAAGAGGCCAGGCCACCTTTCTCTTATTCTAACAGGGAGCATCAACCTTTGGGTTAAGCCTTGCTTGGCATTGGATCCACCAGGCCCATCTGCCATCTGGGGTCTGGGAGCGTCAGGGTGGGGAGAATGAAAACTAAGTTCCCTTGAGGGTTGGGACAGCCCCAAAGCTGTCTGGGAACAGCACCCTCTGCTAACAGACACCGATGGGCTGAGCAATGAAAGTGCTTTCCACACTTCTAAGGCAGGTGCTGACTCCAGCTTCCATACAAGAAACTGAGGCCTTCAGAGGGTTTGGGACCCGCCTGAGGTTGCCAGAGTGAAAGGTGCCAGGCAGTACCCAGCTGCACAGCCGCCTGCTTGCCAGCCTCCAGCTTTGTCCCAGCAAGGAGTTTGTAGACCAGATGGGCAAGGGCTGGGGGTTTGGAGCTGCTCCCACAGAGCACCCTGAGAAGCCAGGAGACCAATTAGCAAGGCATTCCCAGCCAGGCCTGTTCCTGGGGACCAGCCCAAGCAGATGAAAGCAGAAAGGTTATTCCAACAAGGAGCCGCCTACTTCTCAGCTGAGAGCAATCCTGGTGCACTGGAGGAGCCTGGGGTGGGTACGTAATTCAGCACGTTCAGGAAAGGAGCGGGAGCTACAGCAAAGAGAGAGTGAGTGGTGCGATAAGACACGGACATGGCACAGCGCCCCTCCCCACATGCGCCTGTCCTCAGGAGAGGGCCCCGCCTCTTCCCTGGGATGGGTGTGCACTCATGCTGCAGGATAGAAGGAACCAAGGCTGCTAGCAATGGCTCCTGGAGACAGTGTGTTCACACGTGTACACACACATAAACATACAGGCCTGCACACCCAGACCACACACACATGTGCATGCCCACATGTCCACAGGCTCACACACCAGCTCTGTGTACCCCAGGCCTGCCTCCCTCGAGGTGGCTAAGACGCATGCCTCATGTCTGCCTGTTTGACCCCTCCTCCCCCCACTCCTGTACCCAGGAGGGTTTATAAGTGGATCACAGTCCTGGCCTCCAGCTAGGGTGCTTTGTTTAAGACTATCCCAATTTTAGTACTAAAAGTTTCACATCCTGGGAAACCCCTCAATCCCAGGCAAACTCATTCTGGTCACTCTGCCCCAAGCCTTTGGCAGAGCTGGTACTGGATCCTAGACCTCTTCTTACAATCTGCTACCTCTGAGACCCTCAGCAAGGGACCCTCAGCAGAGCCAAGATGGAGTCTCTGCTGTTACCCTGGGTGGGGGTGGGGTGGGGGGGTGCTGGGTCTCCTTGGAACTGATAAAAAAACCCACTGTTTATTGAATACTGTGAGGCAGGCCCTGGGGCCAAGAGCTTTCTGATCCTCATTTCTCATCCTCCAACGACTCAGGAAGTGCCCAGCTAGGTTTCTGAGCCCCTACTATATGCAGAGGTCAGTGGGAGGAGCCAAAAAGCAACAAATAAGTAAATGAACTGATATGTTAGAAAGTGAGTGCAGTGGTGTAAAGTAAAACCAGGAAGGGACCACTTCAAAATGGGTTGCTTGGGGGAAGCCTCACTGAGCAGATGCCTCAGGGCATGTGTTCCCAGCAGAGGAACAGAGCAGAACTGAACAGCTCAGCAAAGGTCAGAGAGGAAGGCTGTGTGTGTAGGAGGGACAGAGGGAGCTCAGTGTGGCTGGGGAAGGTGGGGCCTCTGGGCCGTGGTCAGACTCAGGGGCATCTTGTGGGTAAGATGGGACCTATGAAGAAGGGTTTGGGAGACTCAGACTTTTGCTGGGTCTCCCTGGCTGCTGTGTTAGAAGAGATACAGAGGCAGAGGAACCACTTCAGAGGCTGCTGCAGCCATCCAGGTAAGTGATGATGGTGGTGACTGTGGGAAGAGATGGATTCAGGGTGAATTCTGAAGTTGAGCTGTCAGGACTTCCAGGGAGTTGGCTGTGGGGTGAGGGGAAGAGTCGCCATGACTGTAAGGTGTTCAGCCAGAACAGCCATAAAGAAGGGAGCCCCTTTACCTGGGATGGAAAGGCCATGGGTGGAGGAGGCTTTTGGGGGAAGAGCAAGGCCGATGACATTTGATGGAGATGTGGGTGAGGCAGGCGGATGCCAGTGTGTACACTTGAGAGGGCCAGACTAGAACTTTAGTGGTTTTCCCCTATTTATAGGTGAGAAAAACAAGGCTCAAATAAGCAAAGACACACACTTGTTAAGTGAGGAAGTGAAGATTTGAATCCAGGTCTCTATGGCCATCCTGCCCCCATGTCCAGCAGTGGGGGCCCATGAAAGGAGCCCAGCTGTGCTCTGGCTGGCTTCCCTGTCTCCAGGGTTGAACCAGGCTATGAGGGACCGAGGGGACTCATGAGGAAGGGGCCTGTGCTTAGTTAGGACGCTAGTGGTAAAAATGCCAAGTGGCCTGAGGCGCCAGCAACCCCTTGAGTGCAGCCAGCCTGGCCTTAGGCTGTTATCCAGGCAGCAGAGAGCATTCCGTTAGCATCGATTGGCTTAGAATGGAGCATCTGGCGAGGCTGGGGGCAGGGGGAGCTCAGCCTGCAGAGGGGAGAGGGAGGGCTGCAGAGCCAGAGGGTTGACCACGTGGCTGACTGGTTTCCCAGCCTCAGTGAGGCCCACAGACCTGCAGGGGGAGGGGTGGGTGCCAGGACAGCCCCCTCCCCTCTGTCCATGCCAGCAGGTGGAAAGAGTGGCCTGAGACCTTGGAGCCTGGGAGGAGCAGAGTGAGCTCCATGACTTGTCCCACTGCCCTTCTCCCCCGCTGTAGGGTTTGACCAGGTGCTTAACCTAGGGGTGCCTTCTTTCCTCCTCCAGGAAGCTCCATGTAAAGAACGTGGTAAGAGTTAAAGCCAGGTTCTGCAGGGCCCTCGCTACTCTGGCTGTCTGGCCTGGGCCAGGAGCAGGAGCCCTATCAGTGCTAGTTGCAGTGCTAGGCCAGCTCTCTGGCCACCCCAGCCCTGGGTTTTACTGGCCCAGCTGAGCTGAAGTCATGGCCTCCTTGGAAGCTCTGCCTAATTAGAAGTGGACAGAAAAAGATAATGCCTGCCACCTGACTTCCACCTCCGCTCTTTGCTCATCCTCTGCCCTCTGTCTATGCCTTCCCAGCCGCCTCACCAGTTCTGGCCCCCATGGGACTATCTGGGGGCTGCTGAAAGGACTGGGTAAGGTGGCAGTCTGTACCAGACTACTCTTTCTCTCTGTGGTCCCTGCCCGGTAAGTGGGGGTTGGATTTGCAGAAAGGAAGACTTGCCTGGCATCCTCTGTGCTGGTGCGTACTGAACCTGGGGACTTCTTACTGAGTCCCAAGGCACCCCAGGACATAGGAACTCTTCTCAGAGATCTCCAAGAGGTTGAGGAGCCGTTGATGTCCCATTGTTAGCCAGCGACAGAAAGATATTGGCAGATGGCACAGGGGCAACAGGGGCCTCCCTGAGTCCCTCCCCCAACTTTCCCCACCCGCACCTGGGCCCTGGGCCCAGCACCAGACCAGACTGCCTGGTCCTGTGAGTTTCCCACCCTGTTAGTGAGGCACGATGACTCCAAGGCCTTCCCCACACTGCCACCTCCCACTCTTCAGACTCCAGGCAAGTGTGAATGGAGAAAGGAATGAATGAGGCTGTGCGGAGCTCTGATGCTGGAGGCTGGGAGGCTTGGGAGCAGTGAGCAGCAGAGTGCATCACCCTGAGGGGCAGGCGCAAGGCCCAGGTTTGCCCTCTCCGGAACCTTCAGGCAGAGCCCTACCCACCACCTCACCCCAGGAGGGGGCTGAGGGGGCTGCGTGGGGAATGCAAGGCCCCTCCACGGAGACGTGGATCCCTGCTAATTTGCAGTCTTAAAATGCACAGCAAAGGTGCAGGCCTCATTGTTAGTACATTAATCAGGCAATCAGCAAATCAGGGCTCCCAAAGGCCGCACAGAAGGGGCACAGGAGGAGCCATGGCAACGTAGCTCCTGCCTCCATGGGAAGAAATCTGCAGTGTGGTTATCCAGGGTCTGGCACCCACTGGCTAAGCTGGAGGTGCCCGAAGTGGGTGGAGCTGACGGACAGCTACTCAGGGATCCTGAAGATGGAGCAGCTTCCAGGGTGGAGAGACAGCTGAGACCCCTCCCCAGGCGGGAGGGCTGCGTATCCGGAAGGGTGGCATCCCTGGCACAGGCCCTGGCACTTGACAGAACTGATGGATGGAGAGTAGCTGCCTTGGGCCTGTTTCCCAGGGAGCCCTTCACTGTCCTCTGTCCTTTGGCATGAAGTCACTGCCCCACACAGTCCCTGTGGCCTTGTTGCTCCAGGTCCCAACACAGCAGCATATCCCTTCTTGAGGTAACAGAGAACATGAGCCTGGCCTTGGGCTAAGCCTTAGCTGGGCTCCCTCATTCTCTTGTGGCCCTCTCAGAGGAAGGTGAGGTGGACCTCTGCCTCAGGTTCTGCCTTCATGCTGCCCTGCCCTTTGGCCTCTTCCTCCTGCCACCTTGTATTTACAAATCTTCTAAGCCCACACCTGGATTTGCGGGCTTTTTCACTAAAACTGAGGTCCTGGCTGGTTTCTCTTGTACACTAGAATCCCCTGGAGGTATCAGCTTTCTTTTCATGGGGCTGGGAGTACATCTCCCCTTGAGGGCCCCCGCCCTGCTTTTCTGGGGGCCTTAGAGAGTTAGAGCCACTGCAGCAGGCAGAGGAGGGTTACCTCATTCCCCACACCCCCACCACACAGGGTAGTTCGGAGGATCAGAGGAGCGCAGACAGAAGTGCTCTGTAAACTCCAGTGAGCTGTATAAATGTCGAGTGGTATTAGCACTAAGCTTGACACAGCCCCCACCCCCTACCCCCAGCTGCAGGCTGAAGGTAGAAAATGCCTTTGTCTTTGCAGGACCCCTGGTGATGACTGCACTGCTGTGTTCCCTTCATCCTGAAGTGTGGGTGTGGGATGGGCGCGTGAGCACTGTGAATTCCCTTGAGTCAGGAGGGAGAGCCCAGGCACCCACAGAGTGGCCGGGAGGGGGCCACTCCCTGGGGAAGACGCTGGCATGTGTGCCTTCCCGGAAGAAAGCAGCCTGGGCAGGGTGAGAGGTGTGAGCTGAGCCAAGTGATCTGGAGGGCCTGTAGAAGGTGTAGCCAGTGTAGGGCAGGACCCCTGAGAGTCGGCTGAGATCTGGAGCCCATTTTCCTACCCCCTCACACCCCTGGCTCCCTCAGCAGGGCCAGGGCTCCTGGGAAGATGGAGGCAGTAGTGGAGGCTGGAAGCCAAACCCAGGCCTCCAAGCAGGAGGGCTGTCAGAGAGATCATGTGGGCGTGTTCTGGAAGGAGAAACTGAGATAGAGATGGCTGTAGCCGTGGCCTGGCCTATAGGATGTCCAGTGGCTGAGGCGATGGGAGGCTCTGGAGGGGCCGCACAGAGAATGGCTTGGTTCAGAAAGGGTCTTTGATGCTGTGTTGCCACCACTACTGAGGGCATAATTGCTCTGAAATCGCAACCGAACCCAATTATGCAAAAACTAAATTATGTGCAATGATTTTTATGTGCTGGAAATGTTCAGTTGAAGCCGGGTGATTGCAGGGGGACAGGAAGCAGCTGCCACTCTCTGGGAGCCCATAACTCCCAACAGCTGGGAGCTGTCACTTACGTACAACACCATTTTCTGCTGGGAACAAGGAGGTAGCAGTGGCAGTAAGACCTACTCAGTCAGGAGCCTGGGTAGTGGCTGGGCCTGGGCAGCAGCAGGCCTGTGAACCTAGGCAGGCAGCTGACTGGCCCTGAAGTGGCCGGGAGGGTGGGTTCTCTCATCCCACATACTCTGGGCACAGCCGGCAGCTGGAGGACTCTGCTGAACTGCCCCAGGCACCCTGGCTCTCTCAAGGGGGATGGCTGGACAAGCTGGAAGAAAAGGGGCAAGAGGCCAACCCAGGGAGGGAGGAGATGACTGCCAGGCTCTCTAGGGTGGGTGTATATAGGCCTGGAGCCTGTCCCCTCCACCCTGGCGCGGCTGCTGGGCCGCTTGGGGCAGCTGTGACCCTGGAAAAAGGCAGGTAATGACGATCATCCATAATGAGGCTACTCCAATAATGAGCGTGGGGCTATTACCCGACCACAGGCTGGACACATCCGAAAATAAATTATTTTAAGGGTCCATTAACGAATGCCTAATTAATGCCCAATTAGAGGGAAGCTACAGAGGAAATGCTCCGGACAGTTGAGAGGCAAGGCCTGGCTTTGCAGTCACAGCCTGGAGGCCAGGAGGGGCACAAGACTCGAAGGTGGACCAGAGTGGGAGCAGTGTCAGTTTGGCAGTTTTGTGAACCCCAGAGTGGCATCATGTGTCAGCCCTGGTGCCACCCCCAGTCCCTCACAGACACGTGAGATCTTCATATACCTGCACAGCTCCGTGAGGAAACACTACCGCTACCTGTCTTTTAGAAATGAGGAAATCGGGCACAGAGGGGACATCACATATTTGAGGATTGTGGAAGGCACAGTAAATGACACATCTTTGGAGGTGCACTTTGATGTTATGCGTGCATTCTTTGCTTGTTTTGGGGAATAATTTAAATAGAATGATTCCTCAGGACCCTGTGGGAGATATTGACTTTGTTAGAACAACTCTCTGTGAATGCCGATCACAGTAAGTGAGTGGTTATGCTGGGACAAGAGCCGGAGGCTGGCTGACTGTGTATGGATCTGGCCCTCACACAGCCTGAGCAGTCAGGGCTCAGGAGCATGTGGGTGTGGGGGTGACCAGGGACTTCGCTCCAAACATACCTCCCTCCCAGGCCCAGGATTAATCCTCAATAGGTGGGGAGGGCCAGGAAGTAGGAGAGATTTCCAGTTCAAGACAGGGTCCAAGTGAGGACTCTGACCTCTGCTTTCCTCTATTCTGGGGCCAGGCTCTCAGGGGGCAACCTGACAGACCCTCAGCACAGGCCAGAAGGGGATAGAACCCCAGCAGGCCCAGGAGGGGACTGGCACAGGACCGTCCTCTGCACTGTTTCCCACCTCTTCAGGCAGCCCCTGACTGGCTGTGCTGTCTCTCTCCCTGCCAGGGTGCTGTGTGGAGTTGCTGCTGCTGCTGCTGCTGCTGGCCGTGGAGCTGCCCCTGGGCAGCGGCTGCCCGAGGGACTGTGTGTGCTACCCAGCTCCCATGACAGTCAGCTGCCAGGCGCACAACTTTGCCGCCATACCTGAGGGCATCCCCGAGGACAGCGAGCGCATCTTCCTGCAGAATAACCACATCACCCTCCTCCAGCAGGGCCACTTCAGCCCTGCCATGGTCACCCTGTGGATCTACTCCAACAACATCACCTTCATTGATCCCAACACCTTTGAGGGCTTTGTGCACCTGGAAGAGCTGGACCTGGGTGACAACCGACAACTACAGACTCTGGCGCCTGAGACCTTCCAGGGCCTAGTAAAGCTTCATGCCCTCTACCTCTATAAGTGTGGGCTCAGTGCACTGCCCGCAGGCATCTTTAATGGCTTGCATAGCCTGCAGTATCTCTACCTGCAGGACAACCACATTGAATACCTGCAGGATGATATCTTTGTGGACCTGGTCAATCTCAGCCACCTGTTTCTTCATGGCAACAAGCTGTGGAGCCTGAGCCAGGACACCTTTCGGGGCCTCGTGAACCTGGACCGGCTGCTCCTACATGAAAACCAGCTGCAGTGGGTCCACCACAAAGCTTTCCACGACCTACGCAGGCTGACCACCCTCTTTCTCTTCAACAACAGTCTCTCGGAGCTGCCTGGTGACTGCCTGGCTCCCCTGGCATCCTTGGAGTTCCTCCGCCTCAATGGAAATGCCTGGGACTGTGGCTGCCGGGCACGCTCCCTGTGGGAATGGCTTCGGAGGTTCCGAGGCTCCAGCTCCGCTGTCCCCTGCGCATCCCCTGAACTGCGGCAAGGCCAGGACCTGAAGCTGCTGAGGGCCGAGGACTTCCAGAACTGCACAGGCCCAGCATCCCCACACCAGATCAAGTCACATACCCTCACCACTACAGACAGGGCTGCCCGTAAAGAGCACCATCCAGCCCATAGCCCAGCTAGGGACAGGGGCCACCCACACAGCCATCAGCCTGGCTCCAGGTCAGGCTACAAGAAACCAGGCAAGAATTGCACCAGCCACAGGAACCGCAACCAGATCTCCAAGGCAGGCACCGGGAAACAGCCCCACGAGCTGCAGGACTATGCTCCTGATTACCAGCATAAGTTCAGCTTTGACATCATGCCCACAGCTCGGCCTAAGAGGAAGGGCAAGTGTGCCCGAAGGACCCCCATCCGCACCCCCAGTGGGGTTCAGCAGGCATCCTCAGGCTATTCCCTGGGGGCCTCACTTCTAGCCTGGATACTGGGGCTGGCGGTCACTCTCCGCTGAGGACCCAGGGCGCCAGCGCCCAGCACTGCCACATGTCCACCAAGGAACAGAATTTCTTTTCTTTTTTACAAGTGCAACATCTGCTGGGTTTCAGGAAAAGGCTTATAGAGCCTTCAGCTGCTGGCTGGACCCTACCCAGTGGATTATAAACCCAAAGTGTACAGCCCTAGATGGGAGGGGATTAGCAAGTACATCTCACTCAGCTGTCCCAGCCAGCCCCCGCCAAGCACTCACAAGACAGCATCCACTCCAGCAAGGCGGTAAAAGTCATGCACAGTGAGTCCTTCCTTAGCAGCGATGGGACAAGTGCCCCTTAAGTGGGCTGGGCTCTGTGGAATCCTGATCATTTGGAGAGGTCTGAAGGGCCCCACCATTCCTGGAGGAAGCAAGACTCAAAAGAAATGAGGCTCACCCGAGATGGCTGGGTTGACCAGCAGTCTAAGAGCACGTGAACAGGTGGCATCTTGGCCTGTGCCTGAGGCCATGTAGCGAACCTGTCCTGAATCCAAGCCTATATCACCTTCAGTCCCTCCCTTGAGGATAATGCCTCTTGTTCCTGATATCTCAGGCAACCCTGGCAGTCCCAGGTCCAGCTGCTGGGGTCTAAGAATCAATCACCAAAGGAAAGATCATCAGAGGCTGAAATGTAGAACTTCATAACATGCAAAGAAATTCTCACAGAAGGTGCAGTTTTATACCTACATCCACTTATATATATATATATATATATATATATATATACATACACACACACACACACACACACACACACACTCCACATATAAATATATATATATACAAATGCACAGGTTCCCTGCCCCACTCCATTACCAAATTGTCTGTCTTATCATGTTTATAAACTATACGGAAAACTATATCTGCTGAACTAAGGATTGTACTGGTGATCTTTAGCAGGAAAAAAAAATTATAGAATTTTTGTCTAGAATCCCAACCTGGCAACAATAGTCCCTATGTAACCTGGGCTTGCCACAACCTGGGGCAAGATGTCAGTGGGAAGGGTTAGAGAGAAAGAGAGACAGTGAGATTCACTTCAGGGGACCAATATTCTTAGATATTTAGAACATCACCTTGTTTTTATATGCAACAGCCTGTCTGGCACCCTGGAGCACCCCATCATTCCTATTATAAAAGCTGCGGGTGTCAGGTGAGAAGGGGGAGGCAACTTGTTGGATGTCAGGGAGCTAGGAACTAGGGGCCATCAAGACAGAGAAGGGAAAGAAGGGGCTTTGGGGTTTTTAAACCAGCAGGCACGGCAGCATCCACAGTGTTAGTCCAAGTGGCTGGACAGTGTCATCAGCCTAGCATTTGACCAGTGTCAATCTGGACAGGCCAGGGAGACTCTGAGCAGGAGCTCAGGCCTCCAGCATGGCTCTACTGCTGAATTGTAACTTGAGGCTCTTTGGTGAGTGATCCAGCAAGGGCCATGCGTAGCTTGGTAGGAGGGAAGCATCAGGTAACCTTAGCAGAAGGGGAATAATAAAGACATTTCAAGAACCATCTCAGGCACTCTACATTACAGAGGCCCTGTCCCCCTGACCCTTCTGAGATGCCCATGGATGAGCAGAGATCAAAGGGACAGACTCAAGGGTCAGGAGTGGGGACAGGAGGCAAGCAGGTAACAGAGTGGGCAAGCTCAGATGGGAGAAGGGCTACCGACCAGGGGCCCAGGCAAGCAGTCTCTTTCGCACTTTGCACAGACCTGAATTCCCCACCAGAGAGGGCGAGTGTGAGGAATAAGAAACACTGAATCCAATTAAGAGAGAAAAATAATAAAAAAAAATTCTCTTGGACAAGAACACTGTTTTTCATTTCCTAATCCTGCATTCCTGAAGGGGTGGCAGATCCTGGGCTTGAGGGGTAGGCGAGCCTGGCCCAGCACAACTCTGGGAACAACACATTTGTTGGCAGGAGGAGCTGTAGGGGGTAGGGATGCACTGACTCATGGGGATACACAAGAGCATGCGCATGCGCACGTATACACACACACACACACACACACACACACACACACACACTCACTGGGTCTCTGTTCTATGGACTTGCCCCTCGCTTGCCCAGAACATAATTCACTTCCCACATTCTGGGTGTCCTGGGTTGGCACCGTCTCTGTGGCTCTCCAGAGCAGACTGGTCCTGAATCCTTCCAGGCCTCTTACCAAGAGCCTCAGATGCAGCCACTAAGCTATTGGTTCTCAAGGGTCTGGGCGGTGGCCTCCAGGAGACATCCAGTTCCTGGCACCTGGAACTGGGTGGGTTTGCCAGGAGGCCAAGACTTCCCAGGGCAACAGTGGAAGGGCCTGGAGGCTGTGTTTGCCTCTCTGGTTTTGGCAAAAGGAGTGAGTTCCCAAGATGAAGGTTGGAGGGCTTTGCATTCAGGCCTGGATAGACAAATCTGATGAGGCTTGGGACATTGACAAAAGGGGATGGGGTGAGAGCAGAGCAAATCCTCTCATGTCTTCAGTCACTCCTGATGGTCTCCCTGATCTGACCCAGCCTGGTGCCAGAGCCTGGCTGTCCCTTAGACTCCAAAGAGGTTGTTATGTTGTTGATTTCATTTTGAACCTCAGACAGTAAGGCCCTCAGTGGGGAAATCAAGAGTCTAAGCACTTTATTAAATTTTTTAAAAAAGACTTGGTAAGTCCTATATGGTGGAAGTGAAACTTCAAAAGGAGAAATGCTAATATCTTTTAAAGCATTGCTTCTGTCCAGCCCGGCACAGTCTCTGGTTGCCGATGGTCAGTGGGGGGTCCAAGACGCCAGCTGTATTTTTCGTAGCTTTCTCTCCTAGAAGGCCAGAGGAATGGAGGCAGTTCTGTTGCTGGTGACATCACTTGTCACTGGGCAGCTCATGTGCTATGCAGTTCTGATGAGGACACCATTGTCCCACACATCAAAGCAAACTGATGCCGTGGGGGGCAAAGCAGGCGATTCTCTCTTCACCAGATCTGGCCACCTCCTGAGTCATTCAGAGCAGGGAGATGAGGTCCCCAGGGCTGAGGCCACCCCCCTCTCTTCTGATGTGCTCAGCCCTTCCTCCATCTTTGCTTCCAAGGATCCCCAGGAGGGACCATCTCTTCTCCTTTCTTCGCCTCCCACCAGGCAGCCCCCCACTCTGGGATGACAGAGGGATGGGGGCAGCTCTGCCAGAGGAACAGGGTGGGCCCTGGTGGTCTCAGAGTCTTTCCACACGACCCATAACCCCACAGCTTGATTGGCTCTCTGTTCATTTTGCAAACACTAATCGGGCCCCTGGTGTCCAGGCTCTAGGGACATAAAAGTGAGATGCTCACACTGGCACCACCTCTAGGGTCTGTACAAACAACTATGAGCTGAGAGCTGGTAGTGCCGTTCCTAGAGTCCTACCAGGTATGGGGAGTCAGAGACGTGGACTCTACCTTGGAAGTGGAGGCAGTGTGTGGCTCCCTCACTCGGGCCTTCCCCCGCCCAGCCTCTCCAGAAGCACGTGGTCCCCACTGTGGCACCCTTGTGGATGTTCCTCAACAGTGGGTTTCATCATCGCAACTTGCCTCTTGTGCTCAGCCAGAGCCTTCCTTCGTGCCAGCAAGCTAGAGCGTTTGCTGGAAATCTGCCTGGGCCACAGTCTCATTCCCAGACACCTGCTGCTTCCAAGACAGAATGTGTTCCATAACTGCTCAGTCTCCATGGCCTTTGCTTCCTGCCCTCCCATCCTCCAGGGCCCACCCTCAACAGGCAGATACCCCCTACCCTGACATCCCCTCAGCTACCTCCACGTGTGCCCACTCTGGCAGACCACCAGCTTCCCCAGGGCCCCTCCCCTGAACTGCATCTCCTTTTCCCCTTCTGCTAGGGCTGTTCATTACCAATGAGCCAAGAATTCCACTTAGCAAATGTTTACTCATCACCTAACTAATCACCCAGCAATCCTTGGCCAGCAGGGACTCCAAAGGCCTGTGAGCAGCTCTCAGAAGCTGGGGGGATCCAGGAGGGCTTCTCAGAGGAGAGGCTGCAGGCCTGGGCTCAGAGATAATGGGTTTTCTCAGAGGAGGTTGCAAGTCCTTAGCAAATCCTTCTTCCTATTCATACAAAGTCCCCAAACTGTTCCCCCCAGTCCCTGATCAGATTCCCCTCCCACTCTCCCTCCCCAGTGACCTGAAGGGAGCCATCCCTCCTCAAGGAAAAGCACGTGTACATTTTGATGGGTCCTGTTTGACACCGATTTGAAACCTTCTGACCTGGCTGTGCTTGTGTCCTGGCTCATTTTCTCCCGGCCTTGGTCTCTGGCTTCACCTTTTTCTGAGCAGGAGTTTAGCCCATCAGCCATTACTCCATCCATGTCACCGGTCCTCCACTATCAGCTTGTAATGGGCCAATTTTCTTTTACCTTCTGTCTACTTGGAAAATATCTCAAGAACCTCTGATTGTGCGTTAAAATATCCTTTACAATTCCATGCTTGATATCTCTTTCTGCTCCTCTAATTGTCCCTTTTAACTCACTGCACTTTCTGGATAAATCTCCCAGCCTCCCCCTTCACAGGCTGTTAATAAATACATAAACATCTATTGTTGGCTAAATAACTCACAGCACAATCAAAAAGCCAGGGAAAAAGAGAGAGAGATGCTCAGCATGATGAATGCCCACCTGCATGCTCTCGCTCGTTGTCCTGCCTCTGTTAACAGGGCTGCTGGAATGGGGTAGTTGATGGCCCTAAAAAGTCTGCTGGCTGCAGGGGTGGAGGGTGCTCCAACGGAGAAAGAACCAAGGAAAGAGAGTAGCTGCAGGGCGTACTGACAGAGCCCTCTCCAAGAGCAGGGAGGGAGGGGGCAAAGGAGCCCTAGTGGGAGGAGGAGCAGTGGCTAATTTAAGTGTCATGTCAGTGAGCCCCTTACCTCCAAAAGAAGTGGGTCAGCCTCCTCCAACGCCAGCCTGCACTGCAGGCCCGCCCCCCAGCTCTCTCCTTTCAGCTCTCATTTCTCATTAGAGCCGTTAGTTTCCAAGCACAGGAGGGTGGGTGCAGCTGTACCTTTGTGTCACCAGTTTCTGTGTAGCGGCGTGCACACTAATGGCATGCCTGAACGGCAGAATTTGACACTGATACTGCAAAATGCACTCGGGTCATGGTGCTTTCCAAATTGGCTGAGGCTGCACACCACCCCCTGCTCCTTCACCGGGCGCCTGGGAGCCCCTGCTGGCCCCAGCTTCTGCTGCTCCCTCTGAGGGCCTCCGAGAAGAGAGGAAGCGAGACATGTATTAAACCCTTCAATCTCTGTAAGTACCATTTCCCTGGAGACCCACTCCAAGGAAGAAGGAAACGCACTACTCAAGACCTAAACGCAGAGGAGGTGTTGAGGGCAGGTGCCTTCGAGTCACCTTCCCCTGATGCCCACTGCTGGGGGTGGTCATTGGCAAGACAATGCTGCTCTCTGAGTGGCAGCACCCAGGTGGCCTCTCACCCCTCCAGCCAGAGAGAGAGATTTCAGGGATAATCACCAAATAAGACTTTCTCCGTGCCAGGGCCCAGAAGGACACACCCACCAATGAGGCAGCTGTGGGTATGGGTTGGCCAGGACCCCGAACGGCACACATCTACACTGCTACTTGGAGAGAGAAAGCACAGTTCAACAGGCAGCCCCGTGGACAATGAGGAAGAGATAAAGGAAGATGCAGACAGGAGGGTGCCATACATAGAGGCTTTTTATACACACGCACGCACGCACACACACACATCCACCTTGCTCAGAAATGGCATCCTGTCATTCTTCCTCATACAGCCAAGTTTGAGATGCAGCCAACAGATCTGAGCCCGCACAAGGTGCAAGGCCCTGGCCAGGCCCTGCGATGCCTTAGTGAAGATGGACTCAACATACAGAATATGTTCCAGCCACAGAGGCAGCAGGTAGCCAACCAAATCCTCCTGCATTGGATTGCAAGGTAGTCACAGGAGAGGGGTGCAGGGGCCTGTCTCACAGATGTCACTGAGACATTGCGGCCAGGGTCAGATATCTGGTTCAGATCTGATATACATATCCCTCGAGGCTCATGAGTTGGGGGCTTGGCTTCCATGCAGCAGTGTTCAGAAGTGGAGCTATTGAGAGGTGCTTGGATCATGCAGGCACAAACATCTCCAGTGGATTGATTAACACACTGATGAAATCAGAATTTGATGGCCTGATTGGGAGAGGATGGAAACAGGAGGTGAGGCCCATAGAAAGGAGTGGGTTGTGGGGCATGATCTTGGGAACTCTCTGGGCTCATGGCCCCTTTCTCTCAGGTTCTCTGGCTCTTGCTGTCTCTCTGCTTCCTGTCTGCTATGGGTGAGGAGCCTTGCTGTGCCACACTCTTCACCCCTGAGGTGCTGCCTTACCACAAGCCTAAAAGCAATAAAGCCAGAGGACTGTGGACTGAAGCCACAAGCCCAAGTAAACTTTTCCTCTTTTAAGCTGTTATTCTCAGGCATTTTGTCACAGCAACGGAAAGCCTACACAGGGACATAGTGTGTTAAGTGGGAAGAGCTGGTCTGAGCAGTGAGCTCTGGCCTTTCCACTGAATCTGGGCCCTGAAAGGGTTTTTCTGACTTTCACTCTACAGAGGTGCTGAGGAGGCTGTGGGACTTTGGTCTCACCAGTGCCATGACCTGTGAAATATGTGGCCTGAGGCTGTGTGCTCCCCCAGCCAGCCAGACCACATTGACATTCTCCCCCTGCACAAGGGGTCACAGGGGTCTCCAAGGTGTTTTATTCTTTATCTAGGCATCGGAGCCTCAGAGGCACCAAGGTCCCTGACCCCTCATCTCGCCTGCCACTGGGAGAGTCTC